ATCTAGAGTGGGTGACGCATATTCGCCGCAAAATTCGTTCATTTTCACCAACATCCGACCTACATTCGAATATTTGAAACTTTTTATGTAGGTTTCAGAAAGTTTACTATATGACAAAAATGTTTGATAAAGGAATTCTCTTCAAAACATTGGTCAAATGTTTTAAAAATGAACGCAAACTCAAGAGGAAATCAAGTTGTTCTTGTACCATGGGGGACACATTTTCGCCGAAATGTATGATATGACCAACCTCATTATCCTTGTATATTATAAAAACAATTGTTTGCAACTACATGAATTAGCATGAGAGAACATTCCTATACTATTTTTCTAACAAATATTTACTTTATGACTGCGCATGCATGACATATAAATCTTACATAATTGCCAGAATCGTTCAAAAACACCTGCGTATTTCTTTACATGTGCGAATAACATTGGAAATGGGGTAAAGAGGAATATCAACAGTTCGAACATTACAAACAGCGTTTAGCATCTATTTAGGCAAGTATTGGGTAAAGGCACACGAAATTTACAGAAAAAATTGCAAAACGGCGAAAATGTGTCCACGGCGAATATGCGCCACCCACTCTACCATTTATTAAATTATTTCAGCAAACTGCAAAAGAATTGTAACAGCTCTTCTTTTAATTTTATAAATCTTCTGGGCAGTACCATTGTATACACAGGAAAAGCTTTATATGCATAGTCATGTTATCGCTGTTACTTATCATGCTTATGACAAGCTTTTTAAAAAATAATCATAAAAACAATGAAATTCTTATCTGACTTCAACTTTCAAATACTTCTTAAGTAAGATAATTTATAATCTATGATGTAAGTTTCATCCTTATTAGTTCTTTCCATTGAATGTGGAGCTAGAAAATAAATATAAACAAGAATATCTGTGTCCATAGGACACCATGCCCAACTCACACTATCATTTGTCAATGTGTAGTGATCCATGTGAAAAATCATAATTTGGCAAAAAATTTTAAACTTTCATCTCATAATGAACATGTGTACCAAGTTTCAAGTTGATGTTACCAAAAATTAACCTGAAAATGTACTATTTTCACACTATCACATTTCTATGTTTAGTGAAAACAGAAATCGGGGTCAATACCATAATTCTGCAAGTAATTTATAAAGTACACATCACAATAGGCATGTGTTCTAAGTTTCAAGATGGTGTGAACACAACTCCATGGTGAACTACTTCCACCAAGAACTCTAACCTGATACGGAAGAGACAAGGGACTGACACACAGACCAGCAACATAATGCCCCTCTAAAATATAAAAAATGACCTAAAGTCATGAAAGCTTTTCCAAATTCATTAAAAATACAAAACCTCTAAATACTATCAAATATACCAAAGGTACTTTCTGTAGCAATACTGAACTTATTATTAAGTCATAAAGTAATGTGGATGCTGACAAAGAAGTGGGAGACTGAAAAAAGGGAAAGGCCAATCTAATTAAAATTAAATCTCTGCAGCAACCAAGCATAAAAAATAAGCAAGTGCGGAGGTTTAATTTTAATTAGATTGAAGGAGAGGCAGAACCAGGTGTAGATCAGGGAAAGGCACCAAAGAGGCAACTTTAAGAGAGGGACTTGTAAAACGTATATGCATTAAACAATGTACAATTGTCTGTTTTATTGTTTGTATTTGATCATGCCATAACCATCTATTGTAAATGTGTTTGTGCTAATAAATATTGTCTATTGTCTATATGTAGCTCTATAAGGAGCCTCCTGCTATATCTGCCTCTGAGGACAGGGGAAAGAAGATAAGTCCTTAGTAGAAAGTTTATCAAAAACAATCAAACAATTGTGGCAAGTAAGACCCGAATGTTCTATATAGGGTCAAATAAAAGTAAATTTCAAATTTTCCAAATTTGCATGTTATGTTTTTTCCCAATTGCCTGAATGGTTGCACCTTTTGACATATATTTAATTATCCTGAAAACAATTACCCTGGGACCTGTCAATCACAGGTCATGAAAGTTACTCATCTATTCAATATTTATAACAAATAAATTCCAGATACTATGTTCAATTTGATACTTCTAACATTCCATGAATTTGGGAGACAAAATTTTAAATGGCTAGTATACTTATATGAAAATAAATAATCAAACCCTCTAATTACTAATAAACAGTGTTCTGAGACTGTGTATGATATCTGTCTGTATCATAGTGGTTTCATATACAATCTATAAAACAGACATGTTAACTAAAAAGTTTGGAATGCTGTCAGTGAGGCTTCATGTTATCTTTCAACATGATATACTAAACATTAAAATACTGGGGTAAATAATAACATGCATAACCTATATCCAATGAATTTTTTTTATTCATTATTTTATAAATTACAGAGTTTAGTATGTAGAGCTTATTTGTTATTTTTTCAATAAGTCAATTATTTCCACATTTTCAAAATCTTACCACCATTTGTGGTTTACCTCATGTTTACAAACATATTTCATCAATGTTTAGAAATAACATAGTGAAAACAAGCATTCTGAGAGTATTGCATGGCAATACATAGTTCCCTACCAATTAAAAATTCATTGTACTGGAACAAAATGCTAACTTGATCTATGACTTGTCATGGCGTAAACTATATAACAAATATCAAGTCAATATCTTCAAGCATGACGAAAAAAAGTGTGGAAAACTGATTATTTGAGTGAATTTTCTAAGTCCAAGGACCATAACTCTGCACAAAATCATCAGACCGGAACAAAAGTCGTAATTGATCTGTAACTTGTCATGATAAAACAATATAACAAATATCAAATCAATATCTTCAAGAACGAAGAAAAAAATTGTGGAAAAATGATTTGCCAGACTGATGGATGGACAGACAGACAGACAGATAGACAGACGGAGTGCAAACCTAAAGTACCCTTCGACTTCGTCAGTAGGGGACTAATAATTAAAAGGAAAAATATCAGAAAATACCACATTATTTCTCAGTAAATAAAAAAAATTGTTTCTCTGCAAGTTTTAATTTCACAAAATGGGATCAATTCTTTAAAAAAAACCAAACACCAAGTGTATGCAACTTATCATTTGCCAGGTAAAAATTGTTTTTTAAAACTATTTCATCTTTTATCATTTTAGGCATAGTTGTAATTTAAAAAAAATATTTATGAAGTAAATCTGTTTTCATTGTTAATCCTTACTTTCATGTCAAGTTTTTCTACAGATATCTTGATGAAACCACTAAAATGGAGTTCTTGGTATGGGAAACCTAAAAAAATCATGTTCTGTAGTAAAAGCTGTGCAAGTTTGGTTGAATTCTGTCAAGTCTTTTTCAAGGAGTTTGCAGATAAGCAAAGTGTGACATCAAGGATGACAGTTGATGTAAGCGATCCCTATTTGTTGCTTCAGCTGTACTGTCTAGCCACACTAATAAGAAGTTAGCAATCTACTATTTAAATTCGACATGCAATCATGCCTGAGAACAAAGGAATAATTGTTTTATGACTTGAACCATATTATTTGACTGTAAAAACCTTACCAGTAAGAAGCAGAAGCATACTGAATCAAATCTAATTCCAGTAAACTGCTTAGTCAACAAAAAGCTGCTTCATTCCTGACTCCTACACCAAAACAAAGAGCTTTAGACTGAGTTTCAGCAAACTTGTCAAATATAGAATCAAACTTGACTGGAATAATATTTTCATTGTTGTAAGAATAGTATAACTTTAGTTAAAAAAAGATGTGAATGGAAAACAAGTTTTGGGGACTGTAAGGAGAGAAAGATGAAATGAAGCTTAAATTAAAAACGAGATCAAAATAATTTAATAAGATTAGACATTGTTAAACTTTTAACAGCAAAATTTATTATGTCTTCAAACGAATGGAACATTAAGGATGACACAAATAGTTTTTCCTGCTGCCAAATTTTCAAGGGCTCTTATTCCATGAAAAGTAGGTATTTGAAATGAGATGAAATCTCAAGTTCTCAACCTATTATTATACACTTATAAACCAAAAAATCTGCTTAAATATGAAGGCAAAAAGAAAAAAAAAATAACTATGGGTATTTGAGATTGAGTATGATGGAAGGACAAACATGGGCCAGTATACAGCCTGGCTGCTGAGTAATGGGGACATAATCATAAATACTAACTAGAGTGATATCAGGATTTTAAATTGCTGAAACTACTAATCTAAAAAGATCTTATAATAATTTTTCTTGCAATTGTGGGTTTCTTTCAAGATAGGATTATCAAGTAAATATGTGTTAATGCATACCAGTAAAAGTTTTTGCAAAACCTACAAAAATCAATTCAAATAGAAATTACTTTCAAATAATTACAAACAGATCGTTCATTAAAGCATTACCAGAAGCCAACGTTGTAATAAAAGCTTACAACAAAGCCAATCATATGAAAGCATGATTAACGTAAAACTAAAGAATTAGTAATATAGCTTTTCCCTGAATTATTTGATCTTTAATTGGGATTATATATAAATTCTCTAGCTCTGTATGCATTTAAACAGGATCTAACGAGTTTGATAATTCACACATTGATAAAATTAGTCTAATGCAAATTCCTGTCATATTTATCTAAATCATTGTAAAAACAGATTCTACTACTTCACCCTCTTTACAATATTTTATACATTTGAAAATTTAACTATCTCAAGTGGATGGATTTTGTAATCAACAGTGATGTTAGGTAGATTCTATAGATCTGTGATGTGCAGTAAATGGAAACAAACAAAAATAAATAAATTGCAAGAAAGCAAGAGAATGATACAGCCTTCAAAAAACATATCATTATGCATGCAATGCATTTTGCAACCAAACAAATTCTTTACAAAAAAATGTAAACTGTAGAAACTTCTCATTCGAACTGTTATAAAGGGGTAATAGAAAGTGAAAATAAACTTATTCAAAGTCAAATCATAAATAATTAGCATATGCTGCAAAGCATTTATCCATGCTTGTTATAATCCACTGTTAATTGTTGACTTACCTGAACCAATCTTGATAAGTCCATTGTGCTGTATAAATATTGTATCACATGCTAAATTTCCATGAGTTATTGGAGGATTGCAGGAGTGAAGGTAGCTGCAAATATACCATGTTACATAATTGACAATCAATGCTCGATTTAGCTATACAAATTATCTCCCTTTGAATTTTTTTTAAGTGAAATCGCAGTAAATGCATAGACATGTGAAAGTGCAATCGAAAATTTTACAGACGTTATCCAAAAATGTAGCTGAATATTCCTGTTTACAAAATTTGAACTTCTATCTTGATTTTAGGGGGGAGTCATTTCTCTCAGTTAAAGTAAAAGTTATTAGAACTATTTCAGATGTTAAATATTCTTTTAGTTTTACAATTGTACAGCACTACATTGTACCAAAAATATAGAGCAACACTTTTATTCTTTAATTACATGGTACTAAATGTATTTTTTAAAATTTATTTGTACTTTAATATTGGTGTTATTACTGCAATACAACAACAAATCAAAGCACTGTATGGTGTTTGAACTTAGTACAACACAATAAAGTACAAAATTGGTAGTTCAAACTTGTAGTATAAACATAGTACTGTAAAATTATGGTATCAAAAAACACCAGAATATGGTAGCACTTAAACAGTACTATATAGTTCTGGTACATTTTAATACCTCAGTTACAGAACGTACAAGTATACTAAACCAAAGTATCTGTGTAAATATAAAAGAAAACCCATATTGGCACCAATGATTTTCAAAATGTCTTCAACTTGCAGAAATAAATGTTGATTATGTGTGTTTCAATAAAGCATTGCACTTTTGGTTTGAATTATTTCCTTTCCATTGGTTATACAGCCATGAAATCACTGTAAGTTAATTAAATTGGCATAACCTTAAAAAAACCTTCACAGTTTGATTTGTTTGTTTTTTTAAGTTAACTGTTCCCTTCCAAAACATCATTTTGGGTGGCACATCTTCTCTATCTTAAAAGAGCAAAATGTTTCTGAAATTTTACTATTTTTGCTAAAAATCTGACAAATCTCCCTTATGACATCACTTAAATATCACATTCAAATTGTGTCATCAAGCCAAATCTAATATAAGAAAAAGGAGATGTGGTATGATTGCCAATGAGACAACTATACATTAGAGACCAAAGTATTATTACATCCACAAGATTTTATTCAGATATTTCATCGTATATACATACCTCAGTGCAGAAAGAATCTGGGTACACCATCTCTTCCATGCCTATAAAAAGAAAGAGGAGCCATTTTAATTTCCTACAGCATCTAAGATTCATTTTCCTAACTGCATGACTTTTTATATAAACAGTAACTTAATCTATTAACTCAACAATTTTTGTTATCCCTAAATAAACTTACTGTGTGTCCCAAATACATATAAAAGTGATATTTGATGAAGAGGAAACATTCAGTAAGTCAAGGATAGAAACTAACATTCCCCCAGTCACCAAAGAAGAAAGAATTATAAAATGTTAACCAGTTCTGGAATACATTAAGTGCTAATTGCATTAGATGATGTCCTCATTCTGAAGAGTATCTCCAAAAAATTTGTCCATGATTTGTTTACAATTCAAAAACAAAACCAATAATCCAAATGTTTCTTGTCTTTTATACTGTGATGCACATTATTTTCAAAATTTCAATTATCTAAAATTAACATATTTCACAGGTCATATCTCTTTCACATATTTTGAATATAATCAAATTTCATATTCTAAAGTAGATTTTTCAGTGATAAAAATGTAGTATTTTAATGAGTTTATCGCTGCTGTATCTCCCTTTTTTCAAATACATTTCACACATTAATAAAGGAACGTGACATACCTTTAAATTAAATGTTTTATTATTTTTCCTTGTTTTCTTCATGAACTGAGACAGTGAACCAGATGACATATATTCTGTTATGAAGATGACCTGAAATAAATGCATAATATATAACTCCCACAAAAATCAATAGAATCAGACAAATCAACCTGATCTAATTCCTCCAAAGAAAAGGATCTGCAATGTACCGTTTCATTTGTGTACTGTTAAAATAAATATATGCATTATCTCACAGTTCAGACCAATCACATATCAATCTTAATTTGCACATTAACTATTTTTGTATAGATCTTTAATGTACAACAATTAAAGCTGCTTGTTTGTTAGCTAAAGAACTATTTGTTAATTAGCAAATGTAGCAGTAGCAATCTCAGAATTTCAAATTGAAGCTGGAAGCTGCAAATTTAAGCCACCAAGCTTCTTTGATGCTAAAATAAAGAATATTCTAAGTTTTTTGTCTTTAAATCTTTTTCTGTTGTGTCATTTCTGAAATATCAAATAGTTTTATATGTAGTAAACAATCAGTCTAAAGAATTTATTTTCTGCAAATGAAGCTTTTATTACATTACATGTTTTGATTGGCTAACGATTTACCAGATAATAGTAATCATAAACAAGCTCATATGACATGGCAAAGATCTTACATGTTAACTAACTAAGACCAATAATGATAACAGGAAGTCAAAAATTGTTTTGCTGAGTTTGAGCAAGGTCAACTTTAAGTCAACTACATCTCAAGGTCAAAATAATATGTAATAAAATGCTTCGCTGAGTGCAGCTTGATACGACCGCAGAGGTCCAACCCTGAACAGTTGGGGCCAAAATGGACACAATATTCGCGCTTGATACAGGTCTGAATTTGGACTGTAATTAAATATTTGACACATAATAGGTTTCTGACACCGAATAACTGTAGTCAAAGAACTTAGAATTGGTTATATGATTTGAATTTATATTCAATTTTTTGCTTTTGTGCAATACACTATGCTGTTGCGAATTGACCCCCCCCCCAAAAAAAAAATAAAATTACCCCCCCTTTTTTTTGCTTTTGTGAAATACACTATGCTGTTGCGAATTTTTTACCCCCTACCCCCCAATTTTTTGGCAAAAAAAAAAAAAAATATTTGAAGAAATTTTCTTTTTAATTTCTGAAATCTGAAATGAAAAAAAAAATTGCCCCCCCCCCCCCCAATTTCTTTTTTACCCCCCTCCCCTATTTTTTTTTTTATATGGTCATAATCTCAATTCAAATTTCCAATGGAGTTTGCAACCATAACTACCAATTTAAATACATCATAAAAGTCTTAAAATAGAAAATGACATATATAATCATTGCTAAAATTAATATTCCTTTAATAGTAACTTCTAAGAATAAATTGACAGCTAATCACCTCAAGACAATACAAAATTTCTTTATACATAATTTAAAAGCAGTGTAAGGGAGGTAATCCAAACATACACAACATTGTACTTTAAATGTGTTTGGATTACCTCCCTTACACTGCTTCTAAATTGTCCATTTACCAGGAAACCTTTGTTTTTCCCCCTTTTTTGCCCCTAATTCCTAAACAGATTGAGCCATAACCCCCCAAAGCCAATCCTAACCATCCTTTTGTGGTGTGGAAACTTGTGGTACAATTTCAAACAATTCTATACACTGTTTCACAAGTTATTGTCTGGACACTAGAAAATGCTTATTTGGGCCCCTTTTTGACCCCTAATTCCTAAACCAAAGGGACCATAACCACCATAATCAATCCCAACCTTCCTTTTTATGGTTTCAAACCTTGTGTTTAAATTTCATAGATTTATATTTACTTATACTAAAGTTATTGGCAAATTTCCAGTTATACAAAAGTTATTGGCAAATTTCCAATGGAGTTTATTGTACTAAAGTTATTGGCAAATTTCCAATGGAGTTTATTAATACTAAAGTTATTGGCAAATTTCCAATATACATAATTTAAAAGCAGTGTAAGTAAGGTAATTCAAATGTGTTTGAATTACCTCCCTTACACTGCTTTTAAATTATGTTTTGTACTTAATTAATTGTCCATTAACCTGGATACTCTTGTTTTTCCCCTTTTTTGCCCCTTATTCCTTAACTGTTTGAGCCAAAACCCCCCCCAAAGCCAATTCTTACCATCCCTTTGTGGTATGGAAACTTGTGGTATAATTTCAGAGAGATCCATACACCATTCCACAAGTTATTGTCTGGAAACTAGAAAAATGCTTATTTGGGCCTTTTTTTGGCCCCTAATTTCTAAACTGTTTGGACCAAAACTCCCAAAATCAATCCCAACCTTCCTTTTGTGGTCATAAACCTTGTGTTTAAATTTCATAGATTTCTATTTACTTATACTAAAGTTATTGTCCGGAAACCAAATATCTTCGGACGACGACGACGTGATACCTATATACGACCGCAAAAATTTTGCTGTCGTATAAAAATCCGTTCTCCAATCCTCCACCAATAAAAGGTAAAGTTTATTTACAAAACTGTATCCACTAGATTAATGTCTCTTTAGTGGGATATAGTTATTTACACTTTAACCTTAAGCAGGGATATAATTTTAAGTATATAAAGATAAAATAGAAAAAGACCAAAACAGTCTTATATCACTAATTAGTATACCGTAGAATCTAAAAGTATACAAGCATGGGATTCTGGACTATACCAAGATGCGAACATTCTACTTTGAAAGCTATCTATTAGTTCTAGAATTGGTTGGAATATAATCTAAAGGCTGTTATCTTTTAGCATGAAGTTTGTAGCATAACCATCTACAAAGAGGTTCTAGCAGTTTATCAATGTCTGATATAAGATCTTTAGAGCTCAACTGTGAGCAATAATAATATGGGTCGATTATGATTGTTAGCAAATCAAAGTTAGTGTTAAGCTCATATTTGGCAAAAAGCACACTGCACACTTCAATAATTTCCAGAGTTAGAGGCATTCATATAGTATCCAACTCAGTACACACCAGAAGAAAATGACTTAAGAGTTTCATCACTTTTTCAGCATAACATGCAGGTTGGATCAGGATTAGTGTTGTTGAATACGGCTCTTTTGGTTTGCAGTATATAGCTTCCAGTCAGGATCTTTAAACGGATTGGGATTCTTGAGATATTCTAGTGTTTGCTGAGCTAGTAGTTGCGGTTGGGTGACATTTTCCTATGCGATATATTCCACCAAGGTATTGTAGAGAGCTGAACATCGAGGAGTATTGTTGGATCCGCTCAATCCAGCACGTGTTTACTTTTTGGTTAATCAGGTGTTTCCATTTCATTTTTGTTATAGTTTTGTCAAATAAAGATGTATAAGGGTCTTGTATTCCATATTTAAAGAATATTGTTTTGAGAGCAAAACAGCAAAATATAAATGAACCTAACTTTAATATTTACTTACTCTTGATTTGCCATCTTTTGTGTCTGTCCAGTACTTGTGAAATTTGACTATATTTGGATGGTCTAATTGGATTAAGTTATCAAACACCTGTCTTATTTTGTCCTGCAATGATAGTAAAATTCTTAAATCAATTTTTGCTTTACCAGATCTGAATTTATTTAAATCCGTTAATCAACTTAAAGTATTTGTACTACATGTACATATATTATCATTGTCTGACACTCTTTTTCTTATTTTCTACATTTGACTTAAGCTAATAAGTAATTAATCTTCAAAATTGAAAGTATATCAATCCATTAAAATAACCTGTCTGGTCCTAGAGGAAAGATGCAACTATATTTTAGCGTAATTCAGTTCTTTTGGTCACAAAAAGTAAGTAAAGATGAAGCATAAAATTTATGTCATATTGGCCTTCTTTTTCTTAAGATGTTTCTCCCCTTGATGCATTCTTTCAGCAAGTTATATAATTACAATTCACTTCATAGGTGTGTATAAGATCTGAACTCTGACATAAAACTTAATATTTATGTGAACCATAAAATGTAGGTCAGAGTTTAAATTGGAAACCCCCAAAAAATACCCTCAGGATATTTTGGATTGAATTTCTAAAACTGTATTGAATAAAAATATTTTTTGAATAAGTTTATGATGATGGATGCAGAATGATGGGAATAAAATTACATATGATACCATATACATATTAAAATAAATGTTGATAGTGTCCACATGTGGACACAGATGATGCCCCTGCTTGCATATCATATAGTTATAAAGGGACATAACTGAAGAACGGTAAAAGTGACGCTACCCAAATTTCAACTTGATCTGAGTTTTGTGGTAATAAACATTGTGTGTAAGTCTCATAACATTTGGTTGAGGCTAACTTAAAGACCAAACAGCCTATTGTTGATGCGCATCAACTAACGCAACTTGGTAGTGACATAAAAGCTCTATGACGTTGTTTCTAGCCATGAAAAAAAACGTCAAATTATAACGTCCTATTTCGCGTTTTTCACGGATTCCAACATGGTGTACGCTGAAAACTACGTCTTCCAAGAAAAGTGGAATTAAGCGTCGCACTGTTACCTAGTGGAAATTAAACACAAATGGACACAAAAGATACTACACTATCTGTAACCTCCATTCTAATAAAAATAATAATAAAAATATAAATTTTGAACTCGGCTTTTTGCATTTGCGCCGATCTGCATTTCACTTTTTTTCTTTCACTTGCGCCGATTTTGTCTTTCATTTGCGCCGATTGTGTACAGGTAAATTATAGGTGAAAGTTATTTTTTTATTTATCAAATAAACCTCTTCCGTTAGCCAGTTGTACATATGTTATGCCGAATTGTCAATTATAACATGTATATAACTGTTGTCCCCTGCTCACAAAGGGGAGGTGGGAGTAGAATTTCGAGCAGGATAAGTCAATTTAAAAGATATTGTGCACTCTGTTTACATCCACTAAAATCACGGAGTAAAATTCTATTTACAGCATTTCAAAGCACCACAATAAAATCCATTAAAATGTAATACTAGTACAATGAATTATTATCTTGCCGAGAATTTATATGCCACACATCTGATATATTCCTTTCTTGTCATTTTATCTTTTCTATACTTGTTGTACTTGCCAATAACGAAGTCCATCTTTTCTTTCTCGTGTCAAAACGAAGTTCTCGAACAATATGACCAAAATTATCTTAAACATAAGGGAACACTATTTATATCCATATATTACCATGCAATATACATTCTAGGTTTGCTACATGTACATTATTTACTCGCATAGCAAATAAAGTATCAGGGCTAGTGATAAAAAAAAGAAAATAGGCGCTAATGAAAGAATCAAATCGGCGCAAATTAAAGATCGAATTTTTTTTTAAATCGGCGCAAATCTCGTACGCCCGTGTAACTTTACACTGGTAAATTTATATGACTTACGCTTAGAATTTTAACTTAATATGTGATTTTCAAAACTGAGTTTTCAGAAGGTAATGGCCGATAAACAATACTTTCTAGAAATTTCGATATACTGGCAACGTATGCATGTTGAGATTAACTTATTTCTTTAAGATTCTCGTAAAATAATGGTGATCTTGCAATGAAGTTAAATTTTATCTATACTGCTTAATTGACAAAATATTATAGTAAAAATAAAAATGATAAAGGTTCATTGTCTTTTGTCATTTGTTTCATTTCAAATTGTCTCAAGGAGAAATGATAAAGATTTCGCCTGATCTCACAGAAGCTTAAGGCAAAAAATATAAGAAATTAATATAATCAGTGAATGTGAATTAAAATAAAAATTTACGGTTTTGAAAACTAAACTTGTTGTAAATTTAACTTATGACAAAAAACAATTGCTTCAAGAATAAAATCCAACATAAAATTTCTCACTTTCAAAAAGCTACAATGACCGGAAAGATTGAAAACAAATTTCGATTTTCAATGCCGACAATCTATACATACAACCTTGTCGTTGTTTTAATTTCCAAAATGAGCTATTTAGATTCATAATATTTCATCCTGTTTTGAGAAATACTGTATAGTTTTCAACGAAAAATTATTTCTTAGATTCTAATCCAATTTTTGAATTAAAAACTTATTTGTATTTTATATTTACTGTCTCGTTTATTCAAAACACGTGAGGTAGTAACAACGGGGATCGTATTTTATGATAGGTTAAATTGATGTAAAACGTTTTAGAATCAAAAACTTCAATTCACATATTATACCTATAATTTTAATTTTCTTATATTTTAAATATTCAGAAATAATGAATCCACAAACTAGATGGAATAATTTGTATACACTCGTCTTAGTCGGGACACATAATGGTATAAAGAAGTCCGTCCGTGCTAATGTCTGTCCGTCTGTCAACAGTAGCGAAAGAGTGCGCTAGGGCGAAGTTCTGAAATTGACGTGACAAAAAAACCCACACATCTAGTCTAATATAGTCAAATAGTCTGTAAGTTAGCCAGTATCATCTTTCATTTCTCTTTTTATTTTTCAATGATTTTGCTAATGAGAGGGAGAGGACAAAAACAGACTTTCCTTTCTAAAGCGTCGTAAAAGATTATTTCGAACAATTTTTCTTTCCGACGGATGGTGTTTCTGAAGGTTAATTTTGTGCGGCAACAACATCATGGATCTGATACTGATACATAAATGTGATCTCTTGTATTACCGGATAATAAAGTAGGTGAATATAGTTGTTATTCTTGATTCTTGAAAATTTAAATGTGGGTTTCAAACGTCCAATTTGCAATTTTTTTCAAACAGTACGCCAGCAAGGAAAACTTGTACTATGACGTCAGATTCGATGTTCTGAAGAAAGACAACTCTTTTCTTCAAAACGAACGAGAAAAAAAACATGAAAATTAATCATAACTTTTTTGAAAGGTCGGTGACATATACATTTTTTTGCTTTATTTTGAAGAGTACACATGGCACTTTCCTTCTTGAAATTTTTATGAAAAAATCACTGGTAGATATTTTTTAATACTTGAAACATTTTTCATTCTTGCGTTTTATTTTTGGCGGGAATGAAATAAATCATATTTTTTAAGATCAAAACAATAAGAGTCTTAAACTCTTGAACCTGTATTTGATAGACACAAATCTACTATTTAACATGAAACAAGAATTATGCTTGTAGGTTTGATATAATGGGATTTTTTGAGAGTTTAAATAACAAGCAAATATCATGTTAATATTCGGGAAAACACGAAACTGAGGTTGCTATAGTGACAAAACTAAGTCGGTGACCCCCAATTTTTTTTATCATATTTTGTTCCTCAAATCACGAAATACCTTCACACAAAATATTAAGGAAAAATCACTGGTAGAACTGAATAGGCTGTTTGGTCTTTAAGTTGAGAACAGAAACTAAAAATTCAGCAATTTTTCTATTTGTAAACACGCATAACTCTATAACGGTTATGTATAAGATTTATAACATTTGGTTGAGACAAACTAAAGTTAGAGAACAGAAACGAAAAATTCAGCAATTTTTATGTTTATAAAGGGACATAACTCAAGAATGGTAAAAGTGTCGCCACCAAATTTCGTAATTAATCTGTATTATGTAGTAATAAGCATTGTGTATAAGTTTCATAACATTTGGTTGAGGCAAACTAAAGTAAGAAAACGGAAACAAAAAATTTGTACTTGATCTTAGTTTTGTGGTAATGAATATTGTGTATAGGTTTCATAAAGTTTGGTTGGGGCAAACTTAAGTTACAGAATGGAAACTAAAAATTTTATAAAGGGGCATAACTCAATAATGGTTAAAGTGACACTACCCAAATTCAACTTGATCTGTGTTTTATCAGTGGAAGTCAAAATTAAACATTGCATTGTATAAAGCATTGATTGTAGTTGATTCCAGGGCGCAGCTTGATACGACCGCAGAGGTCGAACCCTGAACAGTTGGGGCAAGTATGGATACAACATTCAAGCTTGATACAGCTTTGCATTTGGATTGTGATTAAATATTTGACACAGCATAGGTTTCTGACACAGAATGAATGTGGTCTAAGAACTTAAAAATTTTAAATTGGACATTCACCTATTATGGTCCAATATCCAAAATCTAAATACATGGTTAGATTCAGCATATCAAAGAACCCCAAGAATTCAATTTTTGATGAAATCAAACAAAGTTTAATTTTGGACCCTTTTGACCTCAATGTGGACAAAGTTGATAAAGGGGCCCAAAAATCAAAAATCTAAATACATGGTTAGATTCAGCATATCAAAGAACCCCATATATTCAATTTTTGTTGAAATCAAACAAAGTTTAATTTTGGACCCCGATTTGGACCAACTTGAAAACTGGGCCCATAATCAAAAATCTAAATACATGTTTAGATTCAACATATCAAAGAACCCTAAGAATTCAATTTTTGTTAAAATCAAGCTAAGTTTAATTTTGGACCCTTTGGACATTAATGTAGACCAATTTGAAAACGGAACCAAAAATTAAGAATCTAAATACACGGTTAGATTCGGCATATCAAAGAACCCCAATAATTCAATTTTTGATGAAATCAAACAAAGTTTAATTTTGGACCCTTTGGACCTCAATGTGGACCAATTTAAAAACGGGGCCCAAAATCCAAAAACTTAATACACGGTTAGATTCAGCATATTAAAGAACCCCAAAAATTCAAGAATAAAACCCCATTGAAATTGGTCAAGAAATAAGCAATTTATACGAAGTATCTTCTTTTGCACAATACTGTGCAATTAAATATTTCTTGCTATTGTGCAATACTGTACAATTGACAATTTCTTGCTATTGCGCAATATTGTGCTATTTGATATTTCTTGCTATTGCGCAATACTGTGCAATTGAAGATTTCTTGCTATTGCGCAATACTGTGCAATTGAAGATTTCTTGCTATTGTGCAATACTGTGCAATTGAAAATTTCTTGCTATTGCACAATACTTATTATATAATAATTTACACATCCTGTTTGGTGTGTATCTCCTACCATATCATTATTATTTGCTTTTAAATATAAATCAGAAATAACCAACTTAAAATGGAAAATTTTAAAAGAAAAAAAAAAGGAAAAAAAAGGAAAACCCCCCCCCCAATTTTTTGAACCCCCTTATGATTTATCACCCCCAAACTTAATCCCAGCCTTCCCTTTGTGGTATGGTACCTTGCAGTACAATTTCAGAGAGATCCATACACTTGAACACAAGTTATTGTCTGGAAACTAGGAAAATGTGTTTTTTGGCCCCTTTTTGGCCCCAAATTCCTAAACGTTTAGGGCAATTACCCCCAAACTCAATTCCAGCTTTCCCTTTGTGATATGGAACCTTGTAGTACAATTTCATAAAGATCCATACACTTACACACAAGTTATTATCATGAAACTAGAAAAATGCTTGTTTTTTGCCCCTTTTGTGGCCCCTTATTCCTAATATTTAGAGGCAATTACCCCCAAAATCAATCCCAGCATTCCCTGTGTGATATGGAACCTTGTGGTACAATTTCAGAGAGATCCATACACTTGAACACAAGTTATTGTCTGGAAACTAGAAAAATTCGTAAGGGTTCCGCGGAACCTAGTGTCTCGCCTACTTTTGCTGTTAATCGCAGGCTCAACAAAAATGAGGAAAAAAATTTATAAAAATATTCCTCTCTATACTATCTTTTGATTGTAAGTAGCTTCTGTCCAAGTTTGGTAAAAATCCAGGATAATTTATGAATCTAATAAATGTTTTAAAAACTTAAACTGCAGAATGTAAGTTATGTTGACTGGAAGAAAAACTAAGTCCATTTATTAGTAAAATACGAAAAAATGGAACAAAATTTTATCAAAATTTCCTTCTAGATACTAGCTTTTGATCATAAACAAGCTTCTGTCCAAGTTTGGTACAAATCCAGGATAGTTTAAGAAAGTTGTTAAAATTTTAAAAACTTTAACCACAGAGTGAATGTAATGTTAACTGGCAGAAAAACTAAGTCCATTTATAAGTAAAATATGGAAAAAATGGAATTTTTTTTTTACAAAATTTACTTCTGCATACTATATTATGATCATAAACAAGCTTCTTTCCAAGTTTGGTAGAAATCCAGGATAGTTTAAGAAAGTTATTAAAATTTCAAAAACTTTAACCACAGAGTGAATGTAATGTTTGCTGGCAGAAAAACTAAGTCCACTTATAAGTAAAATACGGAAAAAATGGATTTTTTTTTTTTACAAAATTTACTTTTGAATATAATCTTATGATCATAAACAAGCTTCTGTCCAAGTTTGGTAGAAATCCAGGATAGTTTAAAAAAGTTATTAAAATTTCAAAAACTTTAACCACAGAGTGAATATTTGTGGACGCCGCCGACGACGACGACGACGCCGACGGAATGTAGGATCGCTATGTCTCGCTTTTTCGACAAAAGTCGAAGGCTCGACAAAAATGCTTATTTTTGGCCCCGTTTTGGCCCCTTATTCCTAAATGTTTTGGGCAATTACCCCCAAACTCAATTCAAGCTTTCCCTTTGTGATATGGAACCTTGTAGTACAATTTCAGAAAGATCCATACACTAACACACAAGTTATTGTCATGAAACTAGAAAAATGCTTGTTTTTTGCCCCTTTTTTGGCCCCTAATTCCTAAAATTTTGAGGCAATTACCCCCAAAATCAATCCCAGCATTCCTTTTGTGATATGGAACCTTGTGGTACAATGTCAGAGAGATCCATACACTAATACACAAGTTATGTCTGGAAGTTACAAAAATGCTTATTTTTGGCCCCTAATTCCTTTACTGTTGGTACCATAACCCCCAAAATCAATCCCAACCTTCCTTTTGTGGTATTGAACCTTGTGGTAGAATTTCATAGAGATCCAGTCACTTAAACTAAAGTTAGAGTGCGAAAACCAATGTGTCTTCGGACGACGCCAGACGACGCCAACGTCATACCAATATACGACCACAAAAATTTTTTTGCGGTCGTATAAAAATTACTTGATATTTAGAAGAAAATACAAATTTTGCAATTTTTCCATTAATAAAGGGGCATAACTCTAGAACGGTTAAAGTGACGCAACCAAAATTCAAACTTGATCTGTGTTTTGTGGTAATAAGCATTGTGTATAAGTTTCATAACATTTGGTTGAGGCAAAATTAAGTTAGAGAACGGAAACTAAAAATTTTGCAATTTTTCCATTTATAAAGGGGCATAACTCTAGAACGGTTAAAGTGACGCCACCAAAATTCATACTTGATCTGTGTTTTGTGGTAATAAGCATTGTGTATAAGTTTCATAACATTTGGTTGAGGCAAACTCAAGTTAGAGAATGGAAACCATTTTTGGGACGTACGTACGTACATACGTACAGACAGACAAGGGTAAAACTTAATGCCCCCACCGCTACGGCAGGGGCATAAAAATATACTGTTCAAACTTGATCCTAGACCAGTGTGATAACCCTACACAGTTACTACAAAGGGTTTAATTATGAATGCTGGAATGGTATATCAATGCAGTACCTCTTGAGCCTTCAAGTTCCTGTTTTCAGAAAACTGTACTTCATTCCATACTACTTCAACACCTTCTTCTGTATCCATAGCAAGAAAGGCATAATCAATACCTGGAACATCACGCTGTTCTACCTACAGAAATATTTTACAGTATACTTAAATTAAAACATCTCTTTAAAAGTTCATCTAAGCATTCACATGTAACTATATTTTATCCCCAAAATATGTACATAGCAATTGCAAGTTATATAAACGTTAACTGTAATATTTACAAGTTCACAAGACTGTTTAACATCATTATACCACATATGCGATATGCAATTTCCACAGTATAGGTGCCTGTTATCCTGAAATACCTTGTTTTGGCGTATGCATTGAGTTGAAAATTGGTGATAATGTGCAGGAATGATTTGTGCATACAGCAATTAATTAATTTTCTTCGATTTTGCACCGATCACAGCATGTTAGATGTATGAAGTTAAAACTGACGATCCAGAAAATGTGGAAACTCAATATTACCTATGTTATACTTCTCTGAGTACCAACATTTTTACACGGTTAGCCATTCAGTTAAGAAATAATCTAAGAGTAAAACCCTTCATGCTTAGCTTGGCAGCTGTTCAGCCCCTGGAACCGTAACAACAGAAAACAGTCAACTTTTTGCACAAAATCAAGGTATTTCAGGATAACAGGCACCTATTCCATGTATACTGTGATTTCCTATATATAAATTAACAATATGGATGATAATAAAGAATAATTTTTTTTAATTCAAGCTTTTACCTTTAATTTCTTATCTATATATTTTTTTCAATACCATCATATTTATGTGCCATGACCTAAATAATTTAAGAAAGACTGAACTTTTACAATATAATTATTTATCTTTAGAATATTATTTACCAGAAAACAAGAAGTTGCTCACTTTAGAGCATATACATCATGTACATAAAAAAAAGATGTGGTATGATTGCCAGTGAGACAACTCTCCACAAGAGACCAAATGACACAGAAATTAACAACTATAGGGCTTTCAACAATGACCAAAGCCCATACATGTATGGTAGAAAGATCAATTTTCGTCTATAGTTGGGTGGCACATTCACGAAAAAAAAGCTTCATTACATGACTGAAAACTTCTTTCCCATTAACTGTTGTTTTCTAAATTTTCCCTCAAGCATCATATAGAAGCACATGATTTTCTGCAAAGATGTGTATCTGATTACACTATAAGGACCATACAATTTCCCACAAATTTGTATATCTGATTAGCAAAAGATATGATACACATGAAAGTAAACATGCACCAACAACCTTTCAGGAGATCATCAAAGAGCACCTGTCTCATTTTATTACATTGTACAATAGACTTATCCATATTTGTACGCCTTTACTGGAAAATGTCCAACACCTCAATGCAAAATACATTGCTGTATGATGTCTATACTAAATTTTACAATATCATGGGTCAAGTGTCACAGATTCTCATACACCAATCTGAGTTGTTTGTTAATGAATGAATCTGAATGTGTTACACTGGTTAGCTCTCAGTCAATCGGTGTAAAAGACTCATCAAACAATCAGTTCTTATAAATATGTTTTAAATTGGGGCCAGATCACCCTTTAAATATGGGGCCAGATTGACTTGGTACAAAACGACTTGGGACAAATTGACTTGGGGCCGGATCGACACGAAAGCCCTCATTATTTTCTTCCGTCTGTCCCCCTATATCTAATACGTTTTAAACCAAACTGTACAATTGCACAGTAAATCATATTCCATTTGGGATATTATTGCTGAAACGTTTATCATTACTCATTTAAGTGAGTGGTCCTTATAACCTGGAACACGTTTTCAACAAAGTAAAATTTATTACTAATACTATCAATAAATAATAATAATATAATAATATTTTATTCAATAAAATATCAAGCATATGAGTTAATACAATACTCAATATATACGATACATAAAGACATTACTAACACATACTTTGTAAAATATAATGGTATTTTATGAGTGTAGATAATCTTTAACTGCATGGAAAACATTTGCTGATATTTTATCAGGGATAACCCATGAAAGCTTTAAAGCTTGTTTCCAATGGGGTCCCTTCATGTAAACGGCTTATAGTTTCGACATACAAAAAAGATATCACACAAATTAATATGACATAAAAAATTCATATAAGAATATTTTGAATAAAAAGTGAGTTTAATAATATAAAAAGAAGTCTGATGAGGCCGCACTATAACTTTTGGTCAAGTACTCTTTAACACTAATTTTGAAATCCTTTATTTTCTTTATTTTTTTAACATTATTTGGAAACATATTCCAAATCTTACTTCTTCTCTTCTTTTCTGCCATCTACCACATGGCGAATATTCTAAGACTTCCCCTTCATCTTCTGACTCGTCTGCACTGTCATTTTTTTCTGGTTGTTCCTGGTCTGCATCTCCCATGTCAAAATTCTTACCTGTACGAAATTTCAGAATACTCACGAAAATTTACTTTTGGAGCAGACGGAAATTGATAAATCTCACCTTCAGCAGCAAATATTAGAACTAAAAAAAATAGAAATGAAAGGGACACACCCTCCAGGTAATATACAAAGAAATCAACTTATCAATATAGTTGAAGACAATCTTTTAATTTTAAGTTATTCATTTTCACCTCTTGTTTAATAGGTTATATTTTCGTCGGACTTGTTATTTGATCACATGACCAATGGGGAACTAACCGCGAAATACACATGTGGAAATGTGGAATGTTTACCAAAGATATTGACTGATTTATCGTAAAAATGGGTGTTTATCTGTCGACGCCAAACACTGAAAAAATTTCAAGTGACGAGACATGTCAAGGTTTCACATATGGGGCTTCTTCAATGCAGGGTTGGCGAATGGCGCAAGAGGTGAAAACAACATGATCATGATCTTGTCCTTAAAAATATTATGACGCCTTGAAAGGCTAATCTAATTTTTGCTTGAACGACTCACATTGATGAAAACATTGATAAAATTCAATGATGATGTGTAAAGATTTGTAAACAAACACTCTTTATAAGGCTACCATTATTCACTAATTTTCGAAAATTACTTCGATATTACTTTAAATCTGTCAAATTATGTCGGTGATACATTCGTCAGATTTTTCCTCGGTTTTCTGTCCGTTCGCTCCCATAACACATTTGCACCCTACACTTTGGCACCCCACACATTCATCCCTGGGTTCGTTTGCAACCTATTTTTATTCAAATACAGGTTAAATTATTAGATGTTATTCAGATATATTTATATTTTGATGAATAAAATTCATGATTTTTTTAATGAAATATTTTTTTTGTGATTAAATAATTAATTATTAAATGTTAACTATTTATGATTGCTGTTAATTGCCTTAAATTGGTATTTACAAAGCATATTTGGTATCTTCCCCTTTTCTTTTACAAGTCTTATATCAGTTATATGAAGGAACTTGACAATATTCATTATTCATTTCCTCAAAATAATTCACAAAACATTAAAGAAAACCTGTTTACGTTTTTAGAATGTCACTTGATTCTAAAACAACAAAAAAACTTAATATCTGTATTTGATAGCAATACACTTAATTACTAAGGGTTGTTCCATTTAAACATACATGGTACCCAGGGAAGGCACTTTAAAAATGGGGTAACCACCTATTCAATTTAATTCAATATTTATTGGAAAGAGCACAATAGAGGCGTGATCCAAATACAGACAATAATAAGGGGACGAAGTCCCCTATTACATTAGAAAAATCAATAAAAAAAAAAAAAATCGGGAAAATTTCCCGAAATTTTCATTGTACTAATGAACTCAAAATCGTTAACTTTTTTTTGGTAACTTTTTTTAATTCCCGCATTTGCGCAGAAATCTACTTCCTTCTTCTGGTCTCGTTTGTCATGAGACTTTGAGTGAAATATATATTTATCAGTCCAGTAAAATATAGGAAGGAACACAATAACAATTTCATTTCTAATTATTCTTTGATATGAAAAAACGTTACCTGATGATAGCATTTCTTTGTTTACATTAAATATGACGTCATAACTAAAATAACGTCACAACTAAAATCCCTAACAACAGAACCAAAATCGGAAACGTTACGGTATTTCCGTTTCTTTTTTAACAGATTTAGAACATAAATTATGTCTGAATTAAAAAAAATAATTTATATAGACTTCGTCCCCTTTCACAGGTAATGCCTGCCTCATATTATATTCAACAACATATAAATGAAATATAGATCAGAGCTCCAGATAAGAATTCACAAATTGGGGTTTTTACCCACCATTTTTTTATGTAATTGGGTGATAAAGTTTTTTAATTGCATTATCAATTCCAATTCACCCCTCAAGCAAATATCAAATTGGGTTTTTCACCACCAAGCTCCTTAATGTATTGGGTTTTTTCAGCAACACAATATTGAATATTTAGGCATGTTATAATCACATTATATCAACCCCAGATGTGTTTCCATCTTAAATGTGTTTCTTTCTTTGTAGAATATGTGCTAGCTGTTTTATTTGGTTTATTCACTGACGAGCAATTGTACATTTAATTTGTGTCCTGTTTTAAACGTTCTGTCAGTTTTGTATTTCTCAAAACTTATGTAAACTGCAGCTGGTGTCACTAGTTGGACAGGAACTAATTGCTTTTCTAGATCCCATATGATCACCCTACAGTTTAATTATAGTTGGGGTAGGTGTGGCTAAGTGTTTAGATTTTTGTGTAATATATGTGAAATTTAGGTGCTGTAAGAAAGTTTTGCCAGTCCTTTCACCTATTTGCCAGATCTACTTTTTAATAAAAATAAAAAGTAGTTTCCAGATTTAAGATATACCCCAAAACCTTGAGGTTTATAGGGTGGTTTATAATGACGGAGACCACATTCAACTTAAATTTACAAATAATTCTGCAACATCAAGTAAATAAATGACAATGTTATACTGCACTTGCCAATAAGACATGTACAACTATCTTAATTATAAGCATCTAGAACAATTAGACCAAAACAAAGAAAGTGTCAAGCTGCATTGACGTAAAAAACGGATATGTGTATTCACTCATCAACTAAAATGAAAAAAATAATATAAACTGTTTTCGTTTAATTCAATTTACATAAATCTGGGTTTAGTTGTCCCTTATCAGAACTTTTGGTTTCCGATGCTTTCAAACTACATATCATGTCATAATTGATTTGGCCTTTCACTTTTTCCAACTGATTTCGTTTTTGACGGAACCCCGTGTTTATCGCTCTAGCAATGTTCTCATTATGGTACGCAAACACGCCCGTGCGTTCAATGGCCGCTTCCTAAAATCACTAGCTGAGTCTTGTTATCATCATAACTTTCCCTCAGCTATCAAAAAGACGCTGAAAACATGCTTCTATTCAATATTTTTACCGGACATTTACTTTCATTTTAATTCATTGTATGTTATGATAAATCCTGAGCAATTCGAAAAAATATGACAGCATGTCACACACTAATTGGATAAAAGCCGAGAAGATCGAAATGTTTTCATAAACACGTGTACCTTTTGAGCAACGGAAAATTCCAACAAGGACCCATTACAGCTACTTAATGCAGTGCTCTATTTTTAGAACGAAAGGACATTTCCAATTATAAATATTATAAAAATAGATTTACGTGACGACTGTAATCAAGTAAGGGTAAATAACGCAAACGATAGCGAATAAAAGCGTTAAGAACCCATGTTTTTATACGCCCGTTTACGGGACATATTATGGTATACCTCTGTCCGTCCGTCCGTCTGTCCGTCCGTCGTAAACATGTCGGACATTTACTCAAAAATGCTTTAAACAATTTGCATAAAACTTTGGTGAATTGTTTATATCTATTGACGTGAGCTCTCTTTCGTTTTTTTAAAAATTTAGATTTTACTTTTCTGAGTTATGGGGTTTTATTCATTAAAAAAAGGGGGATTTTCCAGTTTTTGGACAATAATTCAAGAATGCTTACACCAACTTGCAAGAAATTGTGGTGAATTGTTTATATCTATTGACATGAGCTCCCTTTCAATTTTTATAAATTTTAGATTTTACGTTTCCGAGTTACAGGGTTTTATTCATGAAAAAAGGGGGGATTTTCCAGTTTTCGGACAAAAACTCAAAAATGCTTTCAGCAATTCTTATGAAACTTTGGTGAATTGTTTGTATGTATTGATGTAAGCTCCCTTTAGAATTTTATAAATTTTACATTTTACATTTCTGAGTTATGGGGTTTTATTCATTTAAAAAAGGGGTGATTTTCCAGTTTTCGGACAATAACTCAAAAATGCTGTCACCAATTCTCTTGAAACTTTGGTGAATTGTTTATATCTATTGATGTAAGCTCCCTTTTTATTTTCATAAATTTCTAATATGACATTGAGAATTAATTGAACTTTATTTGTTTATAGTCTGACAACAGATTAACTAAATATTGCACAACAGCAAGAAATCTTTAATTGAATATAAATTCAATTCATATAACCAATTTCAAGATCTTTAACTACATTTATTCAGAAACCTATAATATGTCAAATATTTTATTACAATCCAAATTCGGACCTGAATCAAGCTTGAATATTGTGTCCATTTTTGCCCCAACTGTTCAACGTTGGACCTCCGCGGGCGTATCTAGCTGCGCTCAGCGAAGCAGTTTATTGGCATATAATTGGGTTTTCCTTTGAAATAATTGGTTTATTGAACCCTGCAATGGGCAATTGCATTGGGTTTTTAATTATTTTTATTGCGTGATCACGCAAATATGCAGCTTATCTGGAGCTCTGATAGATCCATGTAACAATAAGTCATAAGTAAATTCTATAGATACCATAACATTCAGAACTCATAATGATACCATACACACATACAGCATGATTCAGTGTTTTCAATAAGTTTTTGAATAAGAGGAAGAAAAATAAAATTAGCAGGCAATCATGAGGGCTGTACGGCCCGAACCGAGTGTCGTGGTCTCTCAAATCAAGAGCTTCTTCAATATACATACAAATTGATGTTAGTTCTTTTTCAGAAGTAGGATTTAAAATCTTGATAAAATTTTCATCCAAATTATTTGAATTTATATCATTGATTTTATATTTAGATCTAATTTTGTTATAGAGGCAAATTCAAATTTCACTTAAATTTCCACTAGGCAAAAACATAGATGACACCCACCCATAGTTGAGTTTGAAGTGTCTTCCCTGGGTCCCATGTATGTTTTTTTGGAACAGCCCTAAAACACAATTAAAAATTATTTAACACAAAACCTTTAAAAAGAATGCAAACATGATTTTGGGCGAACTGGACCTGAATTCTGTTTTGTCTTGTGGCATGAAAATTTACCTAAAATTCTGGTAATGGCAGACAGAAAGCGATAAGGTGGATCAGTAATCAGTGTTCTCCCCAGGCCCTTAAAGGACCGCGGGCCCGCGATGTATAATTTTTGACCGTGGTGGTATCGGTCTTACCGCGATGTATAATTTTTTACCGTGGTGCTAAAATTTTCAGTAAAAAAAATCGTAAATCG